CCCCGGTCGTCAAGGTAAATGCACTGCCAGCCCTCGCTGCTGGGTCCCTGCTGTCCTGCATTCATTGCTGGGTGTTGGGGTGGAGAGGGGTGAGGACGGTTCTGCCGCTTTCCACACGGTCCAGCCGAGGTGATGGCACCCGTGCGTGCTCCTGCTCGGTTCCAGCCTCTCCTTTCACAGCCTTCCCCTGTGCTGCTGCTCCAGGGCTCTTGGAATTCTCCTCATTTTACACCAGATAGCTCAAAGCATCCTTTCCCTCTGTGACTGAGCTCCTGATTTTACTGGGGTTCTTCATTTAAGGTTTGCTGCCCAAAGCATCTCTTCCCTCTGTGGCTGAGTTGATTTTACTGGGGCTGTTCATTTAAAGTTTGTATCTCAAAGCATCTCTTCCCACTTTGACTGAGCTCCTGATTTTACTGGGGCTGCTCCTTTAAGGTTTGTATCTCAAACTTACTGAGCTCCTGATTTTACTGGGGCTGTTCCTTGAAGGTTTGTATCCCAAAGCATCTTTTGTCTCTCTAACTGAGCACCTGATTTTACTGGGGCTGTTTCTTTAGTGCTTGTATCTCAGAGCATCTCTTCCCACTCTGACTGAGCTCCTGATTTTACTGGGGCTGTTATTTTAAGGTTTGTATCTCAAAGCATCTCTTCCCTCTGTAACTGAGCTCCTGATTTTACTGGGGCTGCTCCTTTAAGGTTTGTGTCTCAAACTTACTGAGCACCTGATTTTACTGGGGCTGTTATTTTAAGGTTTGTATCTCAAAGCACCTTTTCCCTCTGTAACTGAGCTCCTGATTTTACTGGGGCTCTTCCTTTAAGGTTTGCAGCCCCAAGCATTTCTTCCCTTTGTAACTGAGCACCTGATTTTACTGGGGCTGCTCCTTTAACATTTGCAGCCCAAAGCATCTCTTCCCTTTGTAACTGAGCACCTGATTTTACTGGGGCTGCTCCTTTAACATTTGCAGCCCAAAGCATCTCTTCCCTCTGTAACTGAGCTCCTGATTTTACTGGGGCTGTTCATTTGAGGTTTATATCCCAAAGCATTTCTTCCCTCTCTGGCTGAGCTCCTGATTTTACTGGGGCTGTTCCTTTAAGGTTTGCAGGCTCCAGCATTAGGAATGTTCCTCTCTGCTTTCAGCCAGTTCAAGACAAGCCTGTCACTCCAGTTGGAGGAGACTGATGTTGCCTGCAGCTTTTGGGTGCATTAGTTCTGTCTTCCTTACTGAGTAATCTTTTGGGAGTTGTCACTGGTGTTTTGCTATTTATTATGTTAATTTATGGGTAAATGAAGACATTACCTAAATAATTGAAATTCTCTTAGCAAGCTGTGAATTGCTTTAAAAATGATGAAAGCATAGCTCAGAGAAAGCTGGGGATCTTTTTATCTAAACTGTGGAATTAACTGCAACAGTTTTGGTTGTGAGGTTGCTTGGACCAGCAGAGGCACAGAATTCTTTTGGTTTTTAACCCAATAGTTTGGGAATTCCTAGAGAAATTGTCAGATCTTGCAGCTAAGCTCTCCTCCTGTCTCACATTTCAGTTTCTGTCCAAATAACTTGCTTCTGAGAATCAATTTCATTTTAAAACTCAAGGATGAACCCAGAAGTGAGTTTGCCAAATACACACTGCAAAATTAATTCTGCTTGGGATTTACTTAAGATTTTCCTTAGATTTCTCCCAGGAACTTTTTCCTCCCTATCTTCCTCTCCAGAGAAATAAATCCTTGATAGGAGCACGAGAGAGCTGAATGGACAGTCCCAGCTTGAATTTATGTGAGAGGGTTTATTTGCTTAAGGCAAAATCTACCTTAGCACACCCACTAAATACAGGGGAGTGAGAATTCATGGGTCTTTGGTGATTAATGTGCTTTGGTTCAGAACTTACAGCCTGATCCTGCCACTGGGGACTCAGACATGTGCTTAAATTACTGACACTGTGCATCAGCTGAGCTGCAGTAATTGACTGGGTGTCCTCCTTTCCCTTGCCAAACACCAGGTAAGAGTCCTGGTTCCCTCTCAGGGAAATAACACATTTTACAGCATGGTTGGGCTTGGGTTGGAGCCATGCAAATGGTTGGTTACTGTGGCTCAGGTGATGTGCAGTGTTGGAGCCTGTAGTCACAAATCCCATTTATCCCAGTGAAATAACCGGTATTTTTTCTGTCAGAGGACAGGCAAAACTAAGGATGAGTGAAATATGGGTCTCCTCAAGCCAGGTCTCATAATCTCTTGGAGATCTATTTCACACCCAAGATAGCTCAGCTACCTTAGAAGGCATAAAATCAGCAGGTTGGCTTCTGTGATAGTGTTGGAAACAAAAAGTTTTAATAAAAGGCAAAATAACAAAACTCTATTCAGAGAAAAAGTGAGCCAGGTGCAAGAGATCCTTGTCCCTGGTAAACACCCCACAAAACTCTTTATAGAGAAAAAGTGAGCCAGGTGCAAGAGATCCTTGCCCCTGGTAAACACCCCACAAAACTCTTTACAGAATAAAACTGAGCCAGGTGCAAGAGATCCTTGCCCCTGGTAAACACCCCACAAAAGCAATTTGTTTCTTTGTTCTCTTCTTTTTCTAGTAAATTGCTTTGGACAGAAGGCAAAAAGTCCTGCCTAATAGCTATCCGTAATTTTGAGGTGAAGCCCCCCCCAAGTCCTATGAGATGTCTTTTCACCTAATTGAGGAGAGAAATTTGTGAGCTTATTTCCTTTTTAAGGGGACGAAGGATGCTTTTGTCACTCGCATTCCTATAGATGAGCTGTGCTAGCGTCTCTGCAGGCCATGCCCTCATGGAGCCTGTCCCTGTGCCGTTTCAGAAAAAGGGAGTGAAGAGGAAAGCAGACACCACCACGCCCACCACGTCTGCCATCACTGCCAGCAGGAGCGAGTCCCCCACGCCGCTGTCGGACCCCAAACAGGCCAAAATCATCGCGCGCAGGGAGAGCGGCGGCCGCCCCATCAAGCCACCAAAGAAGGACCTGGAGGATGGAGAGGTCCCTCAGCACGCAGGGAAGAAGGGCAAACTCTCTGAGCACCTCAAGTACTGTGACAGCATCCTCAAGGAGATGCTCTCCAAGAAGCATGCAGCCTATGCATGGCCCTTTTACAAGCCCGTGGATGCAGAGGCTTTGGAATTACATGACTATCACGATATAATCAAACACCCCATGGATCTCAGTACTGTGAAAGTACGTCCTCTTTTACCACCTCTTTTGGCACGGGGTCCCTCTGCTTGCAGAGGACTGGCTCCTTTGTGGGAGGGGGGAAAGGGAAGGGGTGGAAACTGAACCTGTTTGGATACCAGCTGGATATTTTTATATTTTGTTTCCTTCCCCTCTCCCTTTTTTGCCCTAATCTGGGACAGCTTTTTTTTTTTCTGCCGTGCAAAGCAAATGATGTACACAAAGTACAATGGTATCCTCTCCTCTTTGTGGACAGTCCAGGTATTTAGCTGGTGTTCATAGGATTGTGTTGCACTCTGAGAAGAGGAGGTGCTTTATTTCATAGGATTCAATTGATGGTATCCCATTTCCAGAAGCTGCTGCCTGCCTACTTGGTGGTGGCAGATTGGCTTACACTGAGCAATTCCAGCTGGGATGTGATGGTACTCAGGGAGATACCTGCTGGTTTTGTGGTTCATACTTGTCTCCTCAAGAGTATGGTCCAATATTCTTGTTTTCCCCAGTAGGTTTGGCGGTTTGCTGAATCCCTTCATGAAGCAAACCCATGTCTTTGCAGTTCTCATCTTCTTGTGAGCCTGGCACTGCATTCTGTATTGATGGAGGGGAGACTTCCATGGTGGCAGGAGGTGAAGATGTTGTTGCTGGCTTTCACTGGCATTGCCAGAAGGGTTTTACTGCCAGCTGAGCCAGTGCCTGGGATTGTCTGAATGCCCAGGTGACAGAGGGGCAGCTGTGCTTGTAATTCCTGTCATGGTACCCAGGAGCAGCATGTCACACTCTGATGTGCCATGCATCCATCCCAGGGGTCCTCTGGGTCTCCAGACATGCCTGCAGCCTCCTAGCTGAAGCCCCAGGTGATAGCAGGAAGATTAGAGATGGACAGAGTGAAATCCTGACCCTCTCAAATATTTCCATGTGTGCTTAGGTGATTTCTTATTGCAAGAGATTATTGTGCTGTGTTCTGAAAAATCTAGGTGCAAAGTTGTGATTTCTTGGGTTGTGATTTCTTCATGCTTAAATCTCTTTAAGGTCCTGACTTCATTCTTTTAAAATTGTACACCTCTGCCCCTCTCTGGCAAGTGCAGGTGATATCCTCCCTCTGCACCTGACTGGTGTGGGGTAGAAAATTGGAGACAGGCTGATGGCAAACCCAGCGGAGTCTTTTACAGCTAAAGACTCTGGGTTTCTCATTCCACATGGCAGTATTTTTCTTAATTAAGTTGTTTGAAGTGCTGTCTGGTATTGGTTTTTTATGGAGTGTTTTATTGTCATTGCTCTTGGCCTGCAGATCATGGTGTGACTTCTCAGAGATGCAGCTCATCATCTGTTCACTGTGTGGAACAGAAACCTGCCATTTGCAGGCACTGTCATTTTCCAGTGTCAGGGACTTCCACTGTGGCTCTGAAAGGTTTTTCAATTTAATTCTGCCCAAGTGACAATGGCTGTGATAAAGGAGCACATCTAAGGGCCTCCAAACTAACCTGGGAGGAATTATGTGAGAAAGTAAAACACAAGCATTGCTGCAGCTGTAACACATCTTGTCTCTTATTTCTGTGGCTGTTGGGTTTGATTTTCCCCAGAGAACATCTTTCATGTCCAGGAGCATTTTTTTTTCCCTGGCAGAGATGTCCCCAGGAGGGTTTGTTTGCTCTGTGTGTGGTGCAGGAGGCAGGTTGGCTGTTGTGACTGTGCCAGGGGCAGGGAGATGTGCTGGAATTTTGTGCTGGAATGGGAACAGCTGCAGGGACAGGATCTCTGAGCTCATCTCCACCTCAATTCTCTTTATCAGAGAAGGAAAGAGCAGAACTGCTTGGAGTAGGAAAAGGTGGGAATGTGAGGAGAGAGAGGCAGCAGCTGTAATTCCCTGTGAGGAGGGGGATGCACTGAGGCTGGAGCTGCTGCCCTGTCCCCAGGCAGGCAGGGACCATTGCAGAGCATCCCTGTCCCCCTCTGTGGGGCTGGGGGACCTGGAGCACCTCTTGTGCTCCATCCTCTGGCTGCCAGGTCCCAGCAGTGCCATGGATGTCCCTTTACTCAGTGGTGAGCAAGCAGCAAGCCTTGCTGTGCAGGATTTCCACAAGGAAATTCTACTTTAGGAATAAAGCACTTCCTCCTGGGATGTAACTCTGCTCACCCCTTATTTTTCCTGCAGTTTCAGAGCAGCTGAGTTCAGGGTCTTGAAAGTGAGGAGACATTCTTTGTGTCCTCTGTGGGCAGGACAAAACTTAGAGCAAGGGACACATCAGACATAAGGAAACAAATTTATGAGCAGTAAAGATGATTAAAACAATTGATTGAGGGGGAAAATGAGATCCTCTGTCCCACAGACAGTGGGTGAGCTGCCCTGCCTGACTCCTGATTTCCAGTTGTACATATAACCACTTTTTTTTATTTGTAAGCAGCTGGATATCTCCAAGTGTATTTATAAGATATTCAAACCCACTTATTCAAAGTGCTTTTCTTTCTTTTGTTAAGCTAATTATTCTTTTTAAGAAAACAAAACAAAAAATCCACAGATTAAAAACTGTAGGGCTAGAAAACTGTTGAGTTTGGATGAAAAGCAAAGCCCCAGACACTGGAATGTATTTCATAGGCAATAATCAGGCCCTGAGTATGCCAAACAAATATAAAAAGGCCTTTCATGCAATAAGATGTATTTTAAAATAAATGGGCCCTTTGGTTTGAACATATGTTTTGCTTTGGAATTGGTCTGAGAGCCTTTTCAGACAGGAGCACCACAAACCTATTTCCCTTTCTGCTTTTTTGTGCTGTGCCTTCCAGGCTGTCTCCTGGTTTATTCACCAGGAAAATGAGGTCTCCTGACAAAAGTCTGACAGATGTCTGGCTGCAGCACAGCAGGCAGCAAGGCTGCAGGGATGTCACCACCCTGCACCAGCTCCCACAGAAGCTGAACTCCTGGAGGTGAAATTCTACCCCTTCTCACAACAAAAACAGCTCCAGGAGTCATTGCAGTGTTTCAAGACAGTTAGAAGGTCTATCACAGCTGTGAAATTTCTATAGTTCTGTGAAAAATGGGAGTTTTGCTTGAGTTAGGGGTGGGTGATAGACCCTGAGCACCCCTGCTTGCTGTTGGGATGGGGGATGTCTGTCCCCATCATGTCCCCAGCCTGTCTGCCACTCACCCCTTCCCTTCTCTGGGCACACAGGTGCCCAAGACATACAAAAGGGAAGCCTGTAAGCACTTGGCAAATAGAGAATTTCTTTAAACCCAGGTCTTTTAAATGCAAATGAAACCTAGTGTTAGCTTCTGGTTCCTTTCAGCAGGAATAATTGGAGCTAAGGTTTTATACATAGTAGTAATATATGCATCAAATCAATTAAGTGCTAGAAATGCTATAAACTGCTCTCCAAACCCAAGCCATTGAGTCCCAAACAGCAAGAGAAATGGCTGGAAGTGAGAGCTGAAAAAGAAGAGAAAGGAACAAGGTACAAATATTTGACATTTATCCTCACTACTCTAGGAGATTACATTATGAGTAGGTTCATAAAGGGTGAAGCCTGTATCCATTTCTATCAGTTGGATTTTAAATTAAGCGTGGGAGTTGTAGTTTAACTGTAAATGCCTATTTTGCTGTAGGAACTGCAGAGCAAACCTCCTGCCCTCTGCAGGAAATCAGAGTTAGATTTTCATGATCTTTTCTGCCCTTTCAGATTTACAAGACAAATATATCCAAGCATATGTAGAAATACACACTTAGGTACTCCTGTAATTGTAACTTGCTTGCTGACTCTTGCCCTTTCCATCCGTGATCTTAGTTCCTGATCCATTTTTCTAAACTATTCTTCTAATAATTTCTAAATGTTTTCTGGTAGAATGTGGACCCAGATTTATTTTCTACTACTTAGAAAACAAGGCCAGTTTAGAATCTTAGTGTTTAAACTGCTATGAGATATCAACTTCTTTAATTGCCTGGCGTTTGCTTGTTTTATAAAGCAGAAACTCTGAATGTTATTTAGGAACAAATAACCCAAATCAAACTTCCATTCTCTTAGATGGGATTTTTGAGGCTCTTCTGAGGTTCATGTGTCCTCCATGCAGTTGCTACAAATTCCTTTTGCTTATGGCTTTTCTTTTTTCTTTCCCCTTTGGCTTGTTTATTTGCAGAAAAAGATGGACAGTCGGGAGTACCAGGATGCACAAGGTTTCGCAGCAGATATTCGGTTAATGTTCTCTAATTGTTACAAGTACAATCCTCCAGACCACGAGGTGGTGGCCATGGCCAGGAAGCTCCAGGTAAAGGTGTTGCCAAATGCATCTTCCAGAGTGTTTTTGGTTCAGGTAAAGGTGAGATCCAAGTGTGGATCTGCTCTTGGCACCATTAAAGGAGATTCCTCCAGCCCTTGGAAAGAGCCTCGTGCTCTCTGCAGGACTGTTGTGCTCTTCACATGGCATGGACCCAGTGCCACGTTCAGCTCCTAAAATATTGCATTTAAAGTAATTGGAGGATTTTCTTGGGCTTTTCAGATGGGCAACCATATTTTGTATATTGTTATTTACTTGTAGTACACCTGCCCCTGATGTATTTGAGATCACAGTGAGCTGTCGGTGGCCGAGGCTCCTTCGGTCACCAATTCTCCTCCTTTTTGCAGGATGTCTTTGAGATGAGGTTTGCAAAAATGCCCGATGAGCCTGCAGAGGCCCCCCCTCCACCTCCCCCAACAGCCCCCGTGGTGAGCAAAAGCACAGAGAGCAGCCACAGCAGCGAGGAGAGCTCCTCCGACTCCGACAGCTCCGACTCCGAGGAGGAGCGGGCGACTCGGCTGGCCGAGCTCCAGGAGCAGGTACTGCACCATCCCAGCTGTGTGTCCTTGCATTAGACAGAGCACAGCAGCAGGAATTGTGTCCTGAAAAATCCCACCTAGGCTGGCATGCAGGGAAACATCCCCAGCCTAAGGGGAAAAGCATTCAGCTGTGCAGTCAGTGCATGTTGGATGTAACGGTGATTTTCTTCAGGATGATTTTTCTCAGTGCTGATGCCCTTTTTCCTTCTGGGATCCCAGAGCATGAGCTGCTTGATTTTTGGCTTTAGGCTATACTTACACCTTGGGATGTAGAGGGAAGGCTTTGTGGAGGCAGCAGTTACCTTGCCCTGATGGTTTTTCCCCTGTCTCCCCCCAGCTGAAAGCCGTCCATGAGCAGCTGGCTGCACTGTCCCAGGCGCCAGTGAACAAACCAAAGAAAAAAAAAGAGAAGAAGGAGAAAGAGAAGAAAAAGAAAGATAAAGAGAAGGAAAAAGAAAAGCACAAAGTCAAAGCTGAGGAGGAGAAGAAACCCAAGGTGGCTCAACCACCAAAACAAGCCCAACAGAAGAAAGCCCCAGCTAAGAAAGCGAACAGCACAACCACAGCTAACAGGTGAGAGCCAAGAGCTTCCAGCTCTGCCCCTAATTCCTGGGGAAGCTCAGTAGTTGTTAATTTGCTGCTGAATACTGTTCCCATTCCCAGACAACTCCAGGGAGTCTTTAACTCGGAGCTGGCAGTGGAACCACTGTGTTTTCACTGTCCAGCTCTTTGAATCCCTGCCTGATTGCTCTCAGATAAGGTTTTGGGGGGGTTGCCTTTTGTGCAGCCACCAAGAACGTGCCATTTTATGGCTGCCCCCCTGCTGCTACTTGGGCTCATTGTCACACTCCACAGGGCTAAAATATAATAGGAACACAACAGCTGATCTCAGGCTGCTGAACTTTTTCAGCACTGGTGCTGCTGTTCCAGCCATCTGACGAGAGCTTCAAAGCCAAGAGCATGGGGATGTTTGTTACGAGGGAGTCAGGGGGAAGAAAAAAAAAAAAAGCATTCATTGCTGTGTCCCCATGAATGTTTTCATGCTTGACAACCTCCCCAGGCAGCCCAAGAAAGGAGGCAAACAGGCATCTGCAACCTACGACTCGGATGAGGAGGAGGAAGGGCTGCCCATGACCTACGACGAGAAGCGACAGCTCAGCCTGGACATCAACCGCCTGCCCGGGGAGAAGCTGGGCAGGGTGGTTCACATCATCCAGTCCAGAGAACCCTCCCTCAGAGACTCCAATCCCGACGAGATTGAAATAGATTTTGAAACCTTGAAGCCCACAACGTTACGAGAACTGGAGAGATACGTGAAATCTTGTTTACAGAAAAAACAAAGGAAACCATTTTGTAAGTCAACCTCCTGGGGCACGTGTTCCCCCCAGCAGCTCCTGGGCTCAGCTCTGGAGTCAGGGCATGTGTATTGAGATTCTCTTATCCACCTGGTGGGTATGTGGTGGCAGGAATTTTTTAGAGATTCTTTTCTCCCAAGGAAATGTACAGAAACTTCCTGTTTTTCTCTGTTCTTTCTTCCCTTGGTGTCCTGCTGCAGAGACCTGGAGAGCCAATTGTTCCTCTGCAAGACCTGTGGGATGCCTTTATTACTTACCCAGGCTCTGGAAGGCCCTGTAAAGGTTTCAGTCTCATTGTGTCAGGTGTTACATGCATACATCTGGAAGGATCAGTTTCTTACCCTGAATAGTTTAGCATCTAATTAAGAAGGAAACAAAAAAACGTGGCTGGGATCCAAACCACCAAGGCAATAAATGATTTGCACAAGGTTACCTGGTTACCTGTGGATTCTGGGTGTGTCTGAGTTGTGTATCCACCCCAAAACTGCTCTTGCTGTGTGTCCTGATCACCACATTGGCCTCACCCTCTGTCAGTCCAGAGGGTGAATGTCAATCTGCTGCTGAGTGTGTGGTTCAGTGTGGGACAGACTTTGTGTCTCATCCACAAAGCGAATTCTGCAGCCCCTGGAGAGTTTAGCTCCAGCTGGACAGCAGCAGCATCACTTACCTGAAGTGCTCCTGGCCCTCTTGGTTAAGAGTTCATTCCTTCCTCAGGATTTTCAGGAAGGCCTAAGCAAAGCACAGACTTTGACTTTTCTTTTTCCTTAATTTTTCCCCCTGAATCCTTCAGTGTTGGCCTAGCTCAGGAAAGGATTTTCCAGAGTTCTTAGGAACAGGAAGCATCCTTCGGTTTTGGAACTAGAGCACAGAGTAACACAGATAACCTCAGATATCCACTCTGTGAGCCTGGCATGCCTGACTCCTGTGCTGAGTGTTCCCTCTTAGGACTGTGCTTTCCAGTTTTCTTTTTTCATTGTGTTTTTTTTAAACAGCTCACAGAAATGTAGGTATTTCCTTGCTGGATCAGGCAAAATATCTGGCTCCTGTCTTGTGCTTCCATTCCTGGCCAACACCTGTGTTCAATTACTCCTCCTTTGGAGGAATATTTCCTTTCCTTGGCAGTGTGAGTGTTGCTGGTCCTTCTCACCCTTTCCATCCTGATGCAGTTACATTCCTGTTGTCTGCCAGCCTTTGCCTCAATTGGTTTTTAATTTGCCTTTGTTTGTTTTGTTTTCTATTTAGAGCAACATAAACCACAGTAGATTCTTGCGTGAGGGGATCAGAAGTTTTAATGGCAGATGCTTTTCTCCTGACAACCTTTAATGGGACACTTTATTTTACAGGGCAGAAAACCCATGTAACAATTCTGTAATTACAAATCTGTAATTATTGACCATATAACTGGCTGGTAAGTAACCTGTAATGACAAGGTTATTACATGGATATTTCTATCTTCTAAAATACTTTCCAGAAGATCTCTCTTAAAAAAAAAAAATTGCATGTTAACAGGATGGTGGTTGATTTGATGAGCAAGGCAACTTCAGGTGTTGTCTTCTCTCTGGGATGTGTAGTTGCTGTGTGAGCACTGGCTGTTGGCAGTGTCACTGCAGAGTGTGCACACAGATGTACATGCCCTGTAAAATAGTGATGTCCACTCTTTCCCCCTGCATCCCTTGCACTTTCAGAAACTCTGCCTTCCTCCCCCACAGCTGCCAGTGGCAAAAAGCAAGCAGCAAAGTCAAAAGAAGAGTTAGCTCAGGAAAAGAAGAAAGAACTAGAAAAACGGTTACAGGACGTCAGTGGGCAGCTAAACAACAACAAGAAGCCTGCAAAGAAAGGTAATGGCTTTGGCTTTATGGGAAAACAGCACCCCAAAAGTGAACAGATTTTGTCACAGGGTCAAAACTTCTGCCTTGGGTTGGTCCCTGTGATAGAAACCCTCAGGGAGTTCCCACTGAGCTTCTTTGTGGGGCTGCCAGGTGTGGGAGGCAATTCCTCCTTCAGAGAGAGGAGGATCTCCCCTGTGTTAACCTGGTGTGCAGCCCACACCACAGAGGTTAAAAACAATCCCAAACCCCTACATAGCTCAGGATGCTCCAAAAGGTTCCCCTGGTGCAAACAAAGCTTTCACCAGGGGGTTTCCTGTGCTCAGAGGTGACACTGCCCCACAGCAGAGCTCCTCTGTGCATCCCAAACTTGCACAGTTTAGGGTAAATTTGGGAGAAAACTTTTGAAGCAGTTCTTCTAAAAAGTAAATTTAAGCAGCTTTTTTTTTTTTTAACTGGTTCAGGAAAATATTTAATTGGAGAAAAGTGGAAAACCAGATTTATTTAATAAACAAAGCATATACTGGTACAAAAAATGAACATTATTAAACAGTAAAACTTTTTGCTGTTTTAAAAAAGAGTATAAATTCAGAAAGTCTCTTTTGTGGGCTGTAGCTGGACTTAATTTCTTATCAATCTTTTTGGTGTTGGAAATGCTGTGGCTTAGGCTTGGCTTGGTGGGCTACAAGTGTGAGCTGTAGGTGCTCTTTTGGATGTTCAGTTTAGAGTAGGTTTAAGCAGGTCTAAAGAAAGATAAAAACTCCAATTTAGGGAACTTCTGTGCTTCAGCTAGCTAAAACCGAACTAAAAGCAAAGGAGAGCTCTGTCTTGCTGTCTGTCTGTGGTGGTGTTCACAGGGGTCCCAGGATGAGGGAAGGGATGAGGATCTGAATCCATGTTTCAGAAGGCTGATTTATGATATATATTATATTAAAATAAAGGTTGATTTATTATTTTGTGATATATATATATTATATTAAAACTATACTAAAAGGATAGAAGGAAGGATTTCATCAGAAGGCCAGCTAAGAATAAAATAGCAAAGAATGATAACAAAGGTTTGTGGCTTGGGCTCTCTCACTGTGATTGGCCATTAATTAGAAACAACCACATGAGACCAATCCCAGATGCACCTGTTGCATTCCACAGCAGCAGATAATCATTGTTTGCATTTTGTTCCTGAGGCCTTTTAGTTTCTTAGGAGGAAAAACCTTAAGGAAAGGATTTTCCATAAAATGTCTGTGGCACAGGGCAGCAGTGCTGCCGCCCTGTGGGTCAGACTGGGCACAAAGGGGAACAACGCTGGTGTCCCGCAGTTCCCTGTGGGTAACCCCATCCCTCCCTGCCTGTCCCCGCAGAGAAATCCGGCTCCACTCCCTCCGGAGGCCCCTCCCGGCTCAGCAGCAGCTCCTCCTCCGAGTCCGGGAGCAGCAGCTCCAGCGGCTCCAGCTCGGACAGCAGCGACTCGGAATGAGCAGGGACACACGGACACACCCCCCAAACGGACACCCCTGCTCTGCAGTGTCCCCTCCCCTCCTTACCCCTGCTCTCGGGTGGTCAGGTTTTATCCCCTCTCTCTTTTCTCTGACTTGTTTTTTTATTTTATTTTTTAACTCAGTGTTACAAAAGGTATTTTCCTTTTTTTTTTTTTTTTTTGGGGGGGGGGGCTCTCTTTTAATAGGTCAAAGATCTTTGAGTGTGTGTGTGTGTGACTAGACTTTATGACAAATAGTTCCCTTTGCATAAAGTCTCTAAAATTTACATTTATCTGGAGAAAATTGGTCGAAAATGGAAGAACTTTGAGCTCTTAGCAGGAGATTAATAGAAAATTCTGCAAGGTTTGTAGTACATTTCCCTCCCAGCCCTTCCCTCTGCCCAGAATATTCTCTTTTAATAAGCCTGCCTGGCTCACACAAGGTAAAAACCATCTTTTTTTAAAGAAATCTCTGTAAAATGGTACTGTATCTGAAAGATGTTAGCTTTTGAACTAGTTGGTGTATTTGTTATTAGCACTAGTATTCTTAATCTCCAAGTCTACAGTGTGATGAAAATGTCAGATGCTATCATCTTTTTACATAAAAACAACAAAAAAAATCCAAAAAAATTCTCATGTACTGTGGATTGCTAACATGCTTTTTTTTTAAAATCTTGCTAGAGGCATAGGCACCTGTTCAGGAAGGTCTTGAAGCATGAATTTAACTTTTAAGCACACAAGCAATAGAAGTTGGTTGCATTTCTTGGTTTTCCACTCAGAAGCTTCACTTTTCCTGGGGATTCATTGGGAAGAAAGGGAGCAAGGGACACACTCAAGTTTCTTGGGAATGTTATTTTTACCATTAAACAGATCATTTCCAGGAAATGGGATGCTCTCTATGAAAGTTTCCATGGAATTGTCAGGAGTTTTTTTTTTTTTGGCTGGGAGTTGTCAGCTGGAGCCTGGAGCGATGCCCGCAGTGCCCAGCACGAGTCATGTGCCCATTGCTGGGCACATCTTGGGCATTTCCTCCATGACAAACACCTCAGGCTGGGCTTAAAATAAAGCAGCACTTGAGCTCCAGCTGAGGCTGAGCTGGCAGGGGAAGTGGAGAGGGATTATTTTGTGTGTGTTTGGGCTTTTTGCTTTTGAGTTTGCTTTGGTTTTTCTCCCTTCTCCTCATAGGAGTGAGCTCCTAGAAAAGGGGAGTGCTCCTCCTGTGTCAGGCAGGGTTCAACTTCCAGGCACTGAAATGTTTTACCTCAATGAAAAGAAGAAAGAGGGGAGGGAGGAGAAAAAAAAAAAAGCTAATTTTTTTAAAGCTTGCTAATTTTTTTAAAGCTTGCTATTTTTTTAAAGCTTGCTATTTGTTTTTTCAGCCCAGCCTAATGTTTTGATCTGCACTGCTGCAATACACCCTGGTTTCAGTGTCCCTAATTTCATGTATATACCATGATTTTATTTATTAAACACTATTGGTCGTTTAAAATATAATAAAATCTTAACAAAAGCAAAGCTGAGGTTTTGCAGGCCAGCAGACAGGAAGACTTTTAATGAGGTTTGAACCAGATTAAAACAAACAACAAAGCAAATAAAAATCCACAACTTTATTTATATACCTTGGACTTTCTACCTACAGGTGCTACAGTCCAGTCTCTCGTGTGTCTGGTGCTCTGTCATGTTTGGTGTGTTCATTTTTAGATTTTTTTCCTTTTCTTCTCACCCCAGCTCCCTTTTTTCCTGTTTTGTACAGATTTTGGAGGCATACACTTCAATACAATTTTATTTTCTCAGTGGTCTTTTTTCCTCCCCTCTTTTTTTGTTTTGGTAGAACAATGGGGGTTTTATCCTTTTCTAATCCAATTTTAGGGAAACACCAATTCTATAATTATATCCAATTTGTACTCTGAGGGGCAGAAGTTTTATTGTAAATTCTTTTTATTGTAAAGAAAAAAAAATGCACAGAATTTAACAGAAAGTTCTGCCTTTCCATCTCAAGCACCAGCCCCTAAAACTGCCTCTCCCCTGTGGGGTAGCCCAAAAATTCACCTTCTGAGCTCTCCCAGTGGTGCAGATTACTCCAGATTTTATTTTCCCTGCAGGTGAGTGGTCCTGGAGGCCCCTCAAGGCCTGCCCAGATTTCCTTTCACAGCAATTGAAAGAAAAATGTTCTGATTTTTACTAAAATTCATTATTTTTCTTTTCCATTAACAATGGAGTTCTGCTTTTTATTCATGATTTTTCTTTTCCATTAACAATGGAGTTCAGTTCTGATTTTATTTTATTATTTTTTTAAGTTCTGCCCTTACAAAACCTTCCCCCAGCCAGATCCCTGGTAATATATTTTCAGAATTTACTATGAGGAAATGTAATATTCACCTAATTAAGAGCTTGGGTTTCTTTTCAACGGGGTTGGGTTTCACCTGTGTTTCTCCTGTTGCCTGCGACTTGAATGATCAAAACCATGGAATATTTTAAGGAATAATTGCAACCAATTCACTGCCATGGCTTTTGGATAAACAAACTCCCAGTTTTCCCTTCCTGGGACCTTTTCCTGCCTGCTTGGCCCTGAGCTGTGGTGGGGAGGACAAACTGGAGGCGACACAGAAAATCCTGGGAATTTCAGCTCTGGCACCTGGAACAGCCCCTGGGACACACAGACAGCCCTCAGGGGGCTGCCCCACCAGAATTCCTTGGAAAAGCTGGAGCCTGAGGGTTGAGAACCAGGTGGGATGTGATGGGAGAAGGCGTGGAGGATCCTCCATCCTGCAGGAGCATCCCTGGAAAATCTGCCAAGGCCACCACGGAATGGGAACAATGTGCTGCACATCTCTGATCCACCAGCTGCAACTTGGGCTTCCACTTCTTGGGAAAACTTTGCACGGAAATTGAGGTGTTCCCAACCAAATGGAGCGAGGAGAAATCCATTTTGGCATGACTGAGGGAAGAATTTGGTGACTCCTCCCTTCCAAATGGTGTCCTCACACTTTTCCATTCCCAGCTTGTTTGTAGTGCTCTTTATCCCCACCATGTCCATGGGGGTGCCTCTTGTACATCCTGAGTTTCTCCAGGAAAGAAAAGATGTTTCCAGTCCAGAGTAAGTAGCAGCAGTCCTCAATGAGCTGGGAACTGAAGCAACAGAGCATTTATTTAACTGGGTTTTATTGCATGACACGTCAGTCCAGATGTCACAAAATAACTTGGAAACCATCAAACACACAACGTTTGAAGGACATTTTTAAACTTAAGAATAAAAAAGGAAAAAAAAAAAAGGAAAAAAAAAATTAAAATTTTTATGGTAGAATTTTTCTTGAATGAACAAAGTTTAACTTTGTTTTCCAGGGGAAACTTCACTGAAATCAGTATGATTTCATATGTATGCATACACACAGAGTTTTATTGAAACTGCTTTTTTCGGACTAATTCCTGTTTTGACAAAATATCTGACCAGACCTTTCTCAATCAACCAGCATTACTGCACCTTTAAAAAAAAAAAAAAAAACTTTGTGAACCTTTTCTCTGATTGTAAACTCAGCCTGTCTCGTGGCTCAGTGGGACCAGATGGAATCCCCATCCCAGCGAGCGAAGGAGTCTCAGCACACCCAACGTGTCATCCACACAACAAAACCATTGCAGCTCCTGTACTGGTGTGGTTTGAACCTTGCCTACCCCAGGCTGGCGATGTGGGAGCGATGTTTCAGGGCTGTGTCACTGCTGGCAGGGTGGTGACCCCCAAAAACACACACAAACATCGTTTCTGTGTGTGGAAATCCACAGCCCAGTTCCCCCTGAGCTCTCTTCCCTCTTCTCTGTGTGGTAGAAGCAGACTGCAGTTACCTAATCGAGTTCTTTCTCTGCTTTGGGGACTTTTAGAGCAGTTTTTAATTTTGATTTTTTTTCCTTGTTTTGAAAGGAATGATTTTATTTTTTTTTTTTTTAAAGCTGGGGTTGGAGCTGAGGGGAAGGGATCGGGGCATGACAAAGACAAACCACAACCTTTTTAGTACTGGATTTTAAATTCTCAGTCTCTTCTCAACCCTGAGCAGTTACCACTAGGGCTAACTGTGGGCAGGCTCTGCATCAGTAAAGAGAAATTTAGGATTCCTTACACAGCAGCGTTATCTTGCTTTGAGCTGCATTTTGTAAAGAAAATGGTATTTGCATATCTTTTTAAAATGTCATTTTTAAAAAATAAATTAAACCACCAGCTAGGATTTGACACAGGCCACTTAGAACACAGCCCTGATACTGGCATAACCAATCCAGAAAGATTTGTTGTTGTATTTTTTTGTTTTGTTATTTTGGGGTTTTTTTAATATTTAAAAATAAAAAAGAAATTGTTACTTTTCTGTATGATGTGCATGCAAATTTACCGTAACTCTTTTTCTTAAAACTTTTTAGTGCCATTTCTAGTATATTCCTGTAAATGTCAGTTATTGAAAAGAAATGAGTCAATGTAAGTAGTTTAGCTTGTTTATTGCAAATTGCTGGCCTCAAACAAAACAGAATTAAAAAAAAAAAAGAGTTAGAAAGTAATCTTTGATGTTACTGGTAATCACGGACCCTGGTCCTGGGGCATTCGTTTTGTTTTCATAATAAAAAGAAAAATTGTTTGGTGTGTGCAGTTTGATCCCATCTTTTCCCCTCTCCTCATCTTTTCCAGGTGGGGACTGGGCAGTGCCAGGAGCCAAACCCCAGGGTGTTGAATCCTGGTGCTACAAGTCCTGCAGTAATTTGGGAGTTGTTTTGGGGAATGTCAGAGTGGGGCAGCTCTGGGGTGTCTGAATCACATCTGGGTACCTGCAATAAAACTCCTTTAAATCCCCTTTTTTTGGTGAGGGAAACTCAGCTGCTCCCATGTCCCAGAGCAGCCAAGGAAGGGCTTGAGCTCTTCCGAGCATCCTACAGGGTCTTAAATTCTGTGAGAATTGCTCCTGATTGAGGTATGTTGGGCTGAAAAGAAATCAAATTTCACTTCTTGGAAGCCACCAGGAGCTGTGGGAAGCAGAGGGAGTTTGTGAGCTCAGGGTGACCTGGAAGGGGGGCCTGGAGCAGCTGTGCCAGTGCCAGCAGAGTCCTGGCATTGCTGTGTGGGGGCCAGGAGCTATTTTGGTCACCACACAGGGTTGGGGTTGCTTTTGCTGTTTGCTTTTTGTGTGTGAGGTGGGGTTAGCACAGCCAGGCTGCCCCAGGGTTAATCTTTGTCTAACCCTGTTCCTGCTCGCTGCTCCTCCAAGGCTTCAGCAAAGCTCTTCCACTCTGCTCCTGTGGCAGGGACACTCCTGGGGCTGTTTGTCCATCTGTCCCCTAAGCAGTCTCCTGTGAGGCAGGTGAGGATGTTCCTGAGGCATTTGCAGGTGAGTTATTTCTGGGGGCAGCCAGCAAAGCTGTTTCTTCAGGCTGGGAGGAGGTCGAGGACACACAGGACACAAAGTTCAACTCTCACTGCTCATGCCTTGAATGCTGGGGCTGCCAGAGGGACATTGAGGGGCTGGAATGAGTCCAGAGCTGGGGAAGGCTCTGGAAAGTGTCCTGTGAGGAGAAGGTGAGAGATCCTGGCGGAAAAGGAGAATCAGGGGAGACCTTGCTCTCCACAGCTCTAAACCAAGGCTGTGAGGGGTTTGGTCACTGCCAGGACAAGAGGGAACAGCTCAAGCTGCATCAGGGCAGGTTCAGGTTGGACAGCAGCAGCAATTCCTTCAAGGAAAGGGTGCTCAGGCCTTGGAACTGCCCAGGGAGGTTTGGGGTCCCCATCCCTGGAGGAGCCCAAGGAAGGGCTGGATGTGGCACTCAGGGACGAGGTGGGGATTGGTCACAGGTTGGATGTGACAATCTCTGAGGTCTTTTCCATAATTCCCTCACTCCGTGTGACATCCAGAGCTTATCCTGACAGTGCTGCTGGCCTTGAGCTGGAGGAGCCTCCCACAGCTCCCAGCCCAGTGGTGTGCCTTGGGAACCCCACCCGTAACTGAGGGGATTCCTCCTTCCCAAAAGGGGAATGCCAAAAGCTGTCACCTGTGCCAGGGGGAAAAAGAGCCACTCCCAAAGCTGCATTCAAATCATTTTAATGCACTTTATCAAAGAGGCTACAACAGTGTTTGAAACAAGTGCATCACCACCACGCAGCTGGCTCACAGAACAGCCACAGCAGCCACCCAGAGCCCTGCTGTGACCAGTGACACACAGAAATGGAAAACTACAGTCACATTCACAGAGATGGAAGGACAACTCATCCTCTTCTTCCTGCACTGTCACATCCAGCCTCCATCCTGGAAGAATTTATGCACATTCTTACGGGTTTAGTCTTGTTCTGTAAAATAACTGAATTTTGGTTTACCAGCCACGTTAACAAAAAGAGACTGATTATACCCAAAAATAAGCATCTTCCTCACTAAAATTAAAAAGAAAATAAAGTGTTGGATTTCTTTTTCTATAAGAAAAGAAAAATGAACAGCTGGTTTGGGGGATGTGCTGTTCCTTAAAACTCCCAGAGTTCACGTGCTCCCCAGGGCTGGCCTGGAACCCACCTCCCTCTCCAGGTGAATCCACCTGCAGTTCCCAGGGGAGCTCAGGGCCCAGCCCCCTGCCTGCTGGAGTGAATAATCTCCCTGTTCACTCAGCCAGGAGCTGGAGGCCCAGGTGGGTCACACATCCCTGGCACCGCTCCCCCAGCACCCTGCCAAGCCTCGCTGGGTTTGTGGATCTCATTGCACTTGCTTGGAAAAACATTTATTCACTGGGTTGTTTCTCCTGCAGAGCTAGTCCTGACAAAAGCAAGAGGGTTATTTGTGTGCAGAGCAATGCACAGGTCTGCAAAGCAGCGAGGTTTAAATCTATGAGCACACACACACACACACACACAAGGTATCAAACACCAACACATGCAGAAATAGTGCTTTAAGAAAACAACCAGCTGCCTATTGTTTGCAGTGCTATGGAGCAGGGCTGAGTACACCAAACCTCTATGATTTCACTCTAGGACAGGTGTGTTCTGCTCAGTACATTGAGTTCAGCAAGGTTGAGTGTCTGTGTGTTTGTTGTAGCATTTCACCCACACGGGAGAGGTGGAAGAGATTCTTCATTGCATTTTAAAAAAAATAAATAAAATAAAGTGCTTGAAAATAACACAAAGGAGGTTTTAGATAAATAGAACAGAAGTAATGAGTGTGCCTAATAATAGGCAGGTAAATAATCCATCCTGAAGCTGACATCAAATGCTGATTTGCCTGGAGCTAAGCCTGTGCCCAGGCACTGCTGGGTTGCACACATGGCCTAGGCAGGACAGAAAGGGCAGAACCCTGAAGAATTTCCATGCTGAACCCTGGGTACATAACTCACACCCCTGGAAGTGGTAGTTCTGTGTTTAACAAAGATTCAGGTGCTTGCTGGGCTGAGTTCCTCCTCAGCATGATCTTGCCTTGAGCGAGTCAGGATTCAGCAGAAACTTAAACCTGAAAGCAGCAGCCTCTGTGCCCGAGCAGGGCAGTGCTTCTCCCTCCTAAAATCCTCCAGTTAATCGTAACAATCCCAGACACAACTTCTACAATACATGCACCAAACCTACAATCCAACCTGAACTAGAAGTTAAACCCTTCCAAGCTACTGCATGCATTAAAACTCGAATGCAAAGCAAACTCCAGTGGCCTCTTTCCTCCTGCAGCCCATCCCAGGAGTGGCTCTGGGCTCTGCAGGAGTTTCCTCACGTCCCTTAGCACATGTGTGTATTTACAGGGGTTTCCTGCTGTTGATTTCCTGGGGATGTCCCTCCCTTTCAGATGGGTCTGAAAGGAGTCAGCTCCCCTGACTCCACAGCTCCTGTTATTTGCATGAGGGAAATCAGAGAGGGCCCTTGGCTTTGCATGAAACTCCAGCACACATTTCCTACCAGGTGTTTTGAAGGCTTGGATTAAATTCTCAACACATTCCCTCCCTGTTCCCACAGTGAACCACTCCATTCCCTGGCTGGGAGAGACCACTTCAGGGCAGCAATTAAAGACAGACAGGGCAAACAGAACAAGTAATGGCCAGATGGTTTTTGGAGATCAACTTCTTAAAACTCCAGCCTTGATGGGAAGAGATCTGTGCTCCTGTGTCCCACCAGCATTCCCAGAGCTCAGGAAATGCCCCAGGAGTGGCCAGGAAGGGTGGCTGGGGATGGCGCCCAAGTGCCAGCGGGTGTTTCTCAGGGCACACGAGCCACTTAGAAACAACACATGGTCCAGCACAGCCCCTGCCAAGATGCTGGGCAGCAACAGCCTTGAGAGCTCCCCAGCACGGCTGGCTTTGCTGTACACACTCAGAATGGGAGTCCATAAACAACAAAACCAAACACAAACAATCAAATTCAGCCTTCCTGCAGCGCTGCTTCCTGTGCAGCGCCGTGCGAGGGTGGTGCACACCCACCTCCCCCAGCTCTGCTTCCTCTCCACGTGTGGATTCCCGGCGGGAATTACATAATAGCACAGAACTTGGACTGGCCCGTGTCCCTGGGCACATCCAGCTTGTTTTTGTCCCGCACCAGGATGGCCTCGTTGCCGTACTGCGAGTACCACATGCTCCTGCTGCGGCTCAGGTACGTGTTGGGGGGAGCCGACTCCAGTTTCTGCTGCTGCTGCTGCCAGATGAGCAGGGACGTGTCCCTGTACCTGAGGCGGGCGTAGCCCTCGGACAGGGCTTTCTCGGGCAGGGGAACCCTCCCGTTCATCACCGGCTCACTCATCTGCCCCAGCACAGCTCCACCTGCAGGGGCTCCTTCCCGAAATGATCCCCGCTGGGTCTGTCCAGGGCGATGGCTGCTGCTTGGAGGGAGGTGTTCTCAAGGGAGAGCATCCCAGGGCGCAGCTCTCAGGATCCACGAGCTGCTGGCACCGCTCAGGAGAGGGAAAAGGGCCTTAAAATCCCAGCAGGCAGCCTGGCCTTGCTTAAAACCCCCTCCAGGGCTTCTGAGAGCTCACCCAGCGCTGCTACTGCAGGGTGCTCCATGCTGGGCAGGGCCCACACGTGCTGTTTGTTGTCAGTCCGTGCAGCTCCTCCATAGGGGCGAGCAGCCAGGCCCGGATGAGCTGAATTCCCTGGAGAACGGCTCCCGAAGCTGTCGGAGGTCAGAGATGCCCAGGCCCGCGTTCGGCCTCACCCGCGGACGGACGGAGCCCGCACGTCACGAGATGCAGGAGAAGATGCAGGAGAAGATGCTCGGCCCCGCTTGTGGTACCCAAGCTGGGGAGGAGAGGGGCAGTGCCAGCACCTCCGGACGGCACCTGCGGGGCACAAAGCGTCACCCAAGGGGCTGCACCGGGGGTCCCCGCCCTGCCACCCTCCCGTTCCGTGCCCCCCATCTCCCGCCCGCCCCCAGACCCTCCCAGCGCCCCCGCGGGTGTCCCGCACCCCCCGGCCCTGCCCGCCCCGAGCCGGGGGTCCCGCACCGCCCTTCCCGCACCGCCCCCCGAAGGTTCCCCGCGCCCCCCGGCCCTGTCCCGGCCCCACCGTGCTGCGCTGCCCGGCTCGGCTCGGCCCGGCTCGGCTCGGCCGGCGCAGGCTCCGCCCGCCGTGATGCGCTCGGGAGGAGCCACGGCCGGGGCGGGGGCACCGGGGAGGGACCGGGGGGCGGCACAGCCCGAGGGGGGC